GATCAGGTGCAGGCAAAGAATTGCTCCATGGCAGCAATGAAATCTACCTACAACATACGAGAAGCAGAAACAGCAGAGATCGAGGACAAGGACGTGGAAGTCCTAGAGGACATCGGCAAAAAGCCAGCCGAGAAGAGTGAAGAAGCCTTGAAGAAAATCTTTGTCCAGCAAGGGGATGAAGGACGTTTCTTCCTTCTCGGCTCAAGCTTGGCCGAGGAAGAGGAAAAAGAGCTAGAGACATTCCTGAGAGCAAACATTGAGGCGTTTTCCTGGACACCATACGAAATGCCTGGCATTGACCCCGAGGTCACTTGCCATAGACTAAATGTGGACAGGTCGGCCAAACCTGTAATCCAGCGAGCAAGGAGGCCGATGTTAATGCATATTGAGGCAGAAGAAGAGGAAGTGGGCAAACTTTTGGAGGCCAAAGTCATTCGATGGCTATCAAACACGGTCGTCGTGAAGAAAAAGAATAGGAAGTGGAGGGTCTGTGTGGACTTCACCAACCTGAACAAGGCTTGTCCTAAAGACAGTTTTCCACTCCCCAAAATTGACCAATTGGTGGATGCCACCTCAGGACATGGAAAGATGAGCTTCCTAGATGCTTACAAGGGATACCATCAGATAGCTATGTGCCCCCCAGATAAAGAGAAGACTACATTTATCACCTCAAAATGGTTGTATTACTATAGAGTGATGCCTTTCGAGTCGAAAAATACAGGAGCAACTTACCGAAGACTGGTGACCAAGATGTTCAGGCATCTAATAGGCAGAACAGTGGAGGTATACATAGATAACATGGCCGTAAAGACCAAGGAACCTGAGGATCATCTGGAAGACTTAAAGGCAGTTTTTGACATCCTTAGAACATATCGGCTCCAATTCAATGCATCGAAGTGCGCATTTAGAGTTAGGTCTGGTAAGTTCTTAGGATACTTGGTTACCATAAGGGGCATTGAGGCTAGCTCGGATCAGATCAAGGCCATCTTAGAATTAAAATCCCAACATCGGCAAAACAAGTGCAGATGTTGACTGGAAGGGCTGCAACCCTGAATAGATTCATAAGCAGAAGCTCTGACAAATGTAAACCTTTCTTCAGCTTAGTGAAGAAAGCCACAGACTTTTTATGGACAGAAGAGTGCGAAGTCGCCTTGGCCGACTTGAAGAAATATTTGACCACAGCTCCAGATCTCTCAAATCTAGTACCTGGAGAGGAGCTGTTCTTATACTTGGCAGTTTCAGAGCATGTAGCGAGTACAGTAGTAATCAGAGAAGAAAAAGGAGAGCAAAGGACAGTTCACTACATGAGTAAAACCCTAGCTGATGCAGAGACCAGATACCTATCCTTGGAGATGCTAACACTAGCTTTAGTAATGACTTCCAAAAAGCTAAATCATTACTTTCAAGCCCACAAAATTGTGCTGTTAACTGAGCATCCCTTGAAATCCCTGTTGCAGCAGGGAGATCTGACAGGCAAAATAGCCAGATAGGTAGTGGTGTTAGGCCAATATGACCTGGAATTCAGACCCAGAATAGCAATCAAAGGCCAAGTTGTGGCCGACTTCATGGTCGAGTTCACACCAGGCGCCATCATACATCGGGCTCCGTTGAGCCGAGGTATACGATGTCCGAATGAAAGAGGAAAAACCCAGCTAGAGATAGCAAAACAAAAGAAGAAAGAGAAACTCAGGCCATGCAGTATTTACATCGGCGACTCCTTCCACCTGTTTATTGATGGGAGTTCAAACCGATAAGGAGTGGGAGCAGGAGTAGTGCTAATATCCCCAGATGGGCAGATACTAGAATAGTCCATTCATTTGGGGTTTAAGGCCTCAAACAACGAGGCAGAGTATGAAGTCCTGATCGTAGGGTTGAAGTTGGCAACAGCAATGGAAACCGATGAGCTGATGGTCTTCTGTGACTCCCAACTTATCGTCAACCAAGCAACAGGTAAATACGCTGCCCGAGATGAAAGGATGGTGGCCTATGTAAAGGAGGTGGGCAAACTGATGGCATTGTTCCAAAATTGCCGACTATAGCAAGTCTACCGAGATGACAACAACCATGCTAATGCCTTGGCCAACCTGGTTAGTGCAATGAAACCAGGTGAGGCAAGGACAATAATGATTGAATACTTGTTAGGTCCAAGTGTAGAACCACTGAACACGGAGTATGAAGCAATATGTGTAGATATGGGACCAAGCTGGATGGATGCAGTAATAGTATTCCCTAAAGAGGGAAAACTGCTAGATGATCATAAAGAAGCACACAAGATCAGACTGAAGTCGGCAAGATTCAGTCTGACAACAGAGGGTTATCTCTATAGAAGATTTTTTACTGGTCCCCTTTTGAGGTGTGTGCATCCTTCACAAGTTGAAGACTTCTTGTATGACATACATGAAGGAGTATGTGGAAGCCACACTGGGGGTAGGTCACTTGCTCATAAGGCCATTACTCAGGGATACTGGTGGCCCTATATACAGAAAGATGCTGAAGCCTATGTCAGAAAATGTGAGAAGTGACAGAGGTTTGCACCTTTGATACACCAACCAGCAGCAGATCTGAACCCAGTGTCCAGCCCTTGGCCATTCGCCCAATGGGGCATGGACCTTGTTGGACAACTGCCTCAAGCGAGTGAACAAGGGAAGTTCCTGCTAGTGGCAACAGATTACTTCACCAAGTGGGTTGAAGTTGAACCCCTTACAAAGATTCAGGACATTGATGTAAAAAACTTCATATAGAAAAACATCATCACCAGGTTTAGGATGCCAAGAGCAATAATAGCAGATAATGAAACACAATTTGATAGTAAGCTAATTAAAAGCTTCTGTGCAAAGTACAAGATCAAGAATTATTACTCTACTCCAAGCTTTTCTCAGAATAATGGTCAAGCAGAAGCATCCAATAAGGTTATCTTGGATAGGATCAAGAAGAGGCTGGAAGCAGCAAAGGGAAAGTGGGTGGATGAGTTACCCAATGTACTATGGACATATCGGACCACGCTGAGAAGATCAACTGGAGAGTCCCCATTCGCCATGGATTATGGCACAGAAGCAGTTATTCCACTGGAGGTCGGCATCCCAGGGATCAAAACCCAGGTAGTAGAAAATGGGACTAATGAGGCACTCTTGGCCCAGGATTTGGATCTGTTAGAAGAAAGAAGGGAGAAAGAAGGGAGAAAGCAGCAATTCAGCTGCGGGCATACCAGCAGCAGCTTGCCAGGGCTTATAATAAGAAGGTCAACCCACGAGAGTTCCAAGTTGGTGACCTCGTCCTAAAAAAGATTGTCAGCAACAAGTAAGATCCCAGAGAGGGCAAGCTTGGCCCAAAATGGGAGAGACCCTATAAAATCATCTCGGTCTTGGGCAATGGGACATATCGGCTTGAGGACTGTGAAGGCAAAGAGTTGCCAAGACCCTGGAATAATTGCAATTTGAAGTTTTTCTATCATTAGAGTTTCTTGTTTTTTAAAGATTTTTTGTTATTAGCCGAAGTAATAATAAAGTTTTAGCTTGATTTTCAAACTTGTGTAGTATGATTGACAACTAAATTGGCGATGTTCCTGATTGAAACATGATGAATAACTTAGACTTATTATATGGCAGAGTAGAATTATACTTGCATATAATTGAGTTGAACTAAGTTGGCGATGTTTCTAAGCGAAACATGACGAATAACTTAGACTTATATGGCAGAGTAGAACTATACTTGCATATAATAGAGTTGAACTAAGTTGGCGCTGTTTCTAAGCGAAACATGGCGAATAACTTAGACTTATTATATGGCAGAGTAGAATTATACTTGCATATAATAGAGTTGAACTAAGTTGGGTTAACCTGAACTTTTCATATCGGCAGAGTCAGACTCAGACTAGAACTAAGTACATGTCAGTCAGATTAACAAAGAAACCGAGGTTGGTAACTTCGCTAGTCTTTGTTTGAATCCGACCTCGGCAACAAGGTCAAAACCACATGCTTAATGAGAACCTAAGTGGAACTTAAGTTCACATTAGGGGGCAGAGGGCTGGAGAATGATGCTTAGGAGTTGCAATTTACAAGGTAAAGTTGGTTTAACACTTGTTGAAATTTTAAGAACAATTTAGAAGTTGAAGTGAAGCTGAGGTTATGTTAAAGGAAGTTGGTTTAATACTTGTTGAAATTTTAAGAAAAGTTTACAAGTTGAAGTTAACCCAAGGTTATGTTACAATAATAGAAGACAAGGGTCTTGAGTGAGGTGGCAAGTTGTAAGTAACACTTTTGAAAATATTCATAATATTTTCAAGTGTTAGGCCAAAGCCAAGATAAACTGTTAGTGGATATGGCCGAAGTACTCCACACCGAGAAGATTACACAGTTAAGGTGTATGTTGAAGACATGAAAATTATTCTAAGTATAGAATCGTACAAGACAGCAAAAGGAAGACAAACATTCAATCACATTGCAAGAAGAAACTTAAAACTGCATTCAGATAAGGAAAGAAGGCACTTCGGCCTGACATTGAAGAGTAATTGTTCAAGATTACAAAAGTGGCACGTCGGCCAAATTAAAGCTTACATTATTTCAAAAACTAGAAAAAGTACAGGATACAAGAAATAAAGAAACTAGACTATTCGACATCATTAGCTGGTTGGGATTGGGGCTCAGAGGACATTTGGGAACTCTTCCTGGCGACTTTCTCAGCTGCGAGCTCGACGTCGATCTCTTTAAGAATCTGGTCAAGGCTCTTCTCAGTGATAGACGCCTCGAATGATGTCTTCTCAGCAGAGGCACCCTTTGAGACCTCATCCTCCTCATCCTGAAACAAGTCCGGGACTTGCTCATTTAGAGTAGGGGACTTGGCCCCAGCAGCTTCTTTTTTCTCAGCCTCATCTTCCTCCTCGGACTCAACCTCGTCCTCGGATTGGCTTGGAGTAAAGGGGAATGACAGGATGAGGTCGCCAGCATTTTTGAGGGGAGAGTCCTCAGGGACAGCCAACTTCTTTAGAGCAGCCATCCAACCAAGGGTGAAACCCTTGTTACATGCCTGCTTCACTTGTTTCTTGTAATCCTCATTGACGTCAGCTGCCCCCTCGGCATACGCCTTCTCATCAGCTGCTTTGATCTCGACATCTTTTGTGGTCAGGGCAACCTGGAGCTCGGCCTGGGCCTCGGCAGTTTTCTCTTGGGCCTCATTCTTTTCGGTCTCAAGGACCTTGGCAATGGCCTCTGCAGCATCCGCCTTTACAAGCGCCTCATCCTGAGCTTTCTTGGCTACCTCGGCCCGATCTATCAAGGCCTTCATTTTGCACTCAGCCTTGTTAAGGGACTTAGACAAATTGGCAGCCTCTTTCGTCTTTTGGACCAACTCCTTCTTAATGTTGAGAATGTAAAGTACCAAGTTTTAGGGGCTCACTTGTATGGAATGTTGCAACATTAGAGCGAAATTTTTGTGCTTGCTCATATCGACATTGCGATTAAGATCTTTGGGAAGAAGTAAGGCGGTAAAAAGGGCAACGCCAACTTCAATATCGTCGGCGTTGTCGCCAGCTCTGACCGGCTTGTCCTCGATTGTGATTGCAGGAGCCCAAGGGGCATCAGACTTCAGAGATCTTGAGGTTGTTGTGGGCTCGGACCTCGGCCTCTTCGACCGAGTTAATTGGGATGGTTCAGCCTCGGTGGGCCTCTTCTCGACAGTAGAGAAGGTCTTCTCACTCTCGGCTAATTTTGAAATTGGCAAGGTATCCTTAGTGTCAATCTGAGTCACCATTGCCTTAGGCTGGGCCTTCTTCAGTCTTTTGGGCTTTGGCTTTGGTTTAGACTGGGATGGAGAAGGTTGAGCATTGACAGTATCGGGGCTGTCGGCCAGAAGATCGTCTATAACTACTTTCTTGCGACCTATCTCGACAGCGATTGTAGTTTGGCGTCGACGTTTCCGTTGAGATGGAAGGATTAGATGTGGAGCCGAGGTTGATGGTCGCTCAGCTAGATTAGAAGTTGATGCCTGATCTGGCCGAGGTGATGAAGTTGCTAGTAGAGTTGTGGCGGAAGGAGGAGACTTGCTTTTCTTCTTCAGGACGTCGGGCAAAACGAATTTGTAGGTTGGGATGTAGTTGAGCAGTAAGGGAGCTCTCTGCTTCTGAACTGGTAGATCCAACAGCTTCTTGAAGTCCTTGCTAGGGAAGAAGGACTTACGGAAGTCTTTTGGCGGCTGTGGAAGAGCTGCAAAGAAAAACAGACGTTACAACATATAGAAAGAACAAAGTATTAAAGACTTGGGGAAAAAAAAAAGTAAGTGTAACATTTGGCTCTTACCATTACCCTCTATGAATATTGTTCGGCTAAAAGGGTAGAGGTGAAGGTCCTCATCTGGAGCGAACTCCCAGTTGCCCGAGACAATGAAGTAATTATCCCCGAGTCCCTTGTTGGAGTCTGGGAGGTCAGCAACAAGTTTGTATTCTGTGGACCTCGGTTTGAGGTAATAGATATAGCCTTTTTCTAACTTGAGGCCACACATGGTGTAGCAGTATTGGATGTCAGCTAAAGTTACCCTAGCCTTTTCTCGGCTAGCTAAGGCTATGATACCATTAATGACTCTGTAAGAGTTAATGGCTAATTACATTGGTTTGAGTTTATAACAGTGAAGGACTTCTCGAAAAAGGATGTTGAGAGGGAGCCTAAGTCCACACTCTATAAAAGCTACAACTGGGAAAGGCATGGAGTCGACTGTGGGCATGATGGAGTCATCCTCCCCAGCCAACCTGAGATGGACGTCGGCCGGGATGGAAAACTCCTGCCTGAAATATTCTAACTTAGTTGGGGTGTCTACCCTATACCTCCACATACCCATGACGTCGGCTTGGAGGAAGGTGTTGGATTTCAAAAGAAAGTGTTTTGTAGGGGTTTAAGAGACCTCGGCTAAAAACTATAACTGTGTTGGGGAAAATCTTTCTGAAAGATCTAAGGGGAATTCGTTTCAGTTTTTCCTAAGATTCGTGAGTTCTACAGCAAATCCCAAACCTAAGCCTATACAAACAAGGATTGAAGGCAAGAATATGGAGAAAACATAGAAAATAGAAACAAGAATGTGATTCAGAATCAAGAATAATGATGAACTATCAAGAACACAGTGATAAAGTTTGTGCAGAGTGGGAGACCAAGAACAGTGGCAAAAAACCAAGTGTGCGAAACAGATTGTGTATACATGTGTATTTCCATGAACAAATTGCAAACAAAGGAAAATTTGCAACATAAAAAAGATTCAAGAACATGAATGAAGTCACAATAGCAGTATATGGACGCAACAGTTTAAAGTATAACAAGAAATTGAAACGAAGGGGACAGAAATAACTCACCGAAAAGAATGAAGCCGGTGTGAGGTACGCCGGCGTCCGATGTTGGTAGCAATCGGAGAAGGGCAGCAAAAGTTTCGCTAGGGGAGGTGAACACAGTGATTGCAAAGCTTGAAAGCTTGAAACAATGGCAGATTTGGGAGAGTAGAGAGAGAGAGTTAGCACGAAACTGAAGATGCAAAAGTGAAAAAACGGAGAGAGAGAAGTGGTTTTGATCAAAACCACAAAATGGCGGCAAAATTGCAATCAATGTGCCTAGGGTGACGTGCTTGTCAGACGGCGCATGCAAAAACGATGCGATTTGACGACGCATGTCAGGTACGGCTTAGTGGGGGAAAGACGCGTGGCAGAAACGGTTAAAATATTGTATGTGACAGCTCACACGCGTGATAAAACTCTTTGAGTTCTTGATTTAATAAAGCAAAGACCTCAGCTACGGGGGCAATCTCGGCTCAATGAACTTGAATAGACTTGGTTATTGGTTTTAAAGCTTTGATGCAAACACACTGAAGTGTTTACCATATGGAAGCCGATGCGTGGCAACCTCGGTAAAGAAAGATAAAGCGAACTTAGCCGATGTGCTAAATGGAAGAAATGATATAGGTTTCATCACCTCAAGATGCCGAGGTAATAGAACCTAAGGGGCAGTTTTGGGGACATAATTTTTTAATGACAACACGTGGCCGACGTGGCACCGAAGTGTCAACCGAGGTGTCACGTGTCCTGGTCAAGACGCCGAGGTAATCTCGGCTAGGCCGAGGTTATCTGCGAAGATACCGGAATCCGGGATAAGCGGATAAGGGACAAGAGTCCTAGATTGGAAGAGGACTTCAGTTTGGATAAAGATAAGACACTTAGAGAGTTTATCCCAATCCTACTGAAGTCCAAGATTAGCAGTAATCTAGAGTCCATTGAAGCTAGGGTTCTATTGGAACTAGGTTTGTGTTGGCTATAAAAGAGAGGCACCCTCGTGGGTCTAAGGTATGTTTTTTGTGTTCTGAATAGTGAGTTAAGTACTTTTGCTATCTTTGAGAGATAACTGACTTGATCATCGGAGTGCCCCCGGGTGGACGAACCACCATCGGAATCTCTTCTTTCTGTGACAAGTCATTCGAGCTTAATCTATTCTGTCGGTGCTCTCCAACTGAATACCAGTTTAGCAGTGTGGTTAGAAATCGACTCACACATATATGATAAGTATGTTTACTTATATAAACCACCTATAAAAAATGACTAAGCCTATGTTTGGGAAGTGGGTTTTGGGACTTTTTTTGGTTGAAATAGTCACAAAAAATAAAATAGGCTTTTTATTCTAATAAGACAAAATATTACATCCAACCCATAATTATCACATTATTTCTCTCATAAAAAAACTAACAAAGCAAAAGCTCTTCTCAAACCAAACTTTTTAACTCCAAGTTAAAATAGTCAAAAAAATCAAAAAGTCAACCCACTTCCCAAACGAAGCCTAAGAGAGAGATTTATGAATTAGAATTATCATCAATGATTAAGAATTACATATACTAACTAAATCAAACCAAATGAAATTCCAATTAAGTCTACGTTTGGCAATAGCTCAAAAAAAAAGTCTTCAGTCATTTAAATTTTTTTTTCCCTCCAGTTTTTCAAGTCTAGCTTAGAAAAATTCAAAAAGTACTTTCTTTATTAAAAACAAAACTAAAAATATTTTATTAAAGACAAAGAAAAACCCAAACAATTTAAAATTATGTATAAAAAAAGAAGAAGATATAAGGTTAAAAAAACTAGGGTAACATATTTCGTTAAATGTATTTTGGCTGTTTGTTGAATTTGATAATTTTTGGATTAGTGTAATAAAAGATATTAGTTTGTTAGTGTTAGTCGGAATGATATTTTGAAGGACAGATCTAGATATGATAACTATTGATTGGACTTTTTTTTAAGTATAAGCACTAATTTAACACTTCAAAACTTCTACATGACCGTTGCCTTGAGCAATCCAGAGTTCCATATATATATTTAGTGTGAGCAAAAACAAAGCTTTAGAAGCACATAATGTCATTAATTAGACCTTCCCTACCGGTTACATACCTCTCAAGATTAGTCCTGACTTCCTTTAAAATCAAAGAATTAAAAATACCTGAGTTATCAAAAAAATAAATAAATAAATAAAATTAGACCTTCCCTACAAAAATAAGATGTTGTATAACATAAATTCAAAACTAAGTGAGTCCCGTTCTGTTCATTTGGGGTCACTACAGCTCAGGACTCTCAAATTGTCACAGTTCTAAATCTGAACCAAAGAGTCCAAACCTGGCAAATCGTTTTGAGAAAACAGATTTTTAGAAAAGAAGTGCCAAACATGGACTGCTTTGCCAGATACAGAGTCGCCACCTAAATATTTTATTTTGGGAAATTTAGGAAACCCTGACTCGTTGCCTAAGGCCACGTGTCCGTCATCACCAAAGTTGCCTCGGCTCGGGAACTTGGGTACGATTGGGGAAGGTCACTTCGTGAGCACCCGCTTGCCCGAATCAAAGATCGGCTCTAACTAACAATGATATCTATTTTGAAAAACATTGTGTGTTCTTTTCCGGTTATTAGCCTAGATTTACTATGTGATGCGCACATCAATCAAGTATAGACTGGGTCGCCTGAATTGGGAACAAAACATTTCATGTTTGTTTGTTTGAAAAATGGTTTGATGGTGCTACTTTCAAGTAGGCTAAGACGTAGATTTGCCACCCTTGGTGGGCTTAGAAAATATGATTTTCCACTATCTAGTGGGCTTAAAACTCACAATTCAATGGTTTGTTCAATCCAAACAACCCAACCTTCACCCACAGGCATTCAGGCAGTTATATCACTAAGCAAAAAGCGTCATGGTAAGCATGCTATTCATGGCAGCACTCACACGCATGCAAGGATGCTAAAGCATAAAATTACCGAGTACTCCAAGCCAAAACAAAAGCTAATTAGAAATCCATGCATGATCCTAATTATGCAGAAATGCCTAATGCAACACATGCAAAATGCAACTATGCAGGCTCGGCTATTCTAAACATGGCATATGAGATGTAACAGCTAACAAGTATTACCACTTTGAAATTGAAATACAAATGCATTAGTATGATGCGCCGAGCCCGGTGCATACAAAACAGATGAATGAATGCAAACATGCTATCATACTGTATGCTATTGAAACATGGCCCTAATCTAACCATCATAAGCTGGTAAATAAAAGGGAGAAAGACGTGGGGTTGGAAGGCATACATCACACGCACGCACACTTATTACAATTTTGCCCTCGCACAAAGGGTCTGAATAAATATACAGTCCCAAATAAATAATTATAGTCCCGAATAAATACAAAAATCCTAATTAATTTACAAATTAATCTAGGAAAAGCTATAAACTGGCATGCAAGCCAAGGACTGCCTCGACTCTGATGAATGATGTATGTTTGGGCTGCCTTGCGCGGAAATCCACTGGGATGCCCCAATTAGCCTCTGTTTTGCATTTATTCTTGGAAAGCGCGCCAAGCTCCGGAAGACTGCCGATTCTTGATTTGCTGCAACAGAGAGCAGAAAAGGGGCATAGCAATGTATTTTCACAAATGCATGCATGCCTCGATCCTCGTGCCACTAATCACGCATCTCGATGCATGATGGTCGAGGAGTCGAATTATGCAATTCAATATAGAATGAATGCACATGAAAACAAAACAAAACCTAGACTCCATCATGGATAATCCGGAGCGTCAGCGACTGGGAATTGAGACACGTTCCGTCACTCGGAGTACGAAACGTACCTCGTTTCCCGTGCTCGGGCTAACTCCTATCCCAAGCACGATGCAATATGCATGATATGCATGAAATGCAACTAAGATACAACCTAACATACACAATGCTATGAAATGGCATACACGATGCACGAGATAACATGGCATACACAATGTGCTAACATAGAACCTAGCATACGCAATGC